CTGGGGGACAGTAGCTCCCAGGTGAGACCTCACAGGGTACAGGAGCCCTCTCAGAAGCATGGATGTTCGGTCCTGGTCCCCATCATGACCCTGGTCACCCTGTCATGTCTCTACAACATCTGTGCTCACTCCACACGGGACAGCAGGGTGGGGTAGGTACTCCTTGAGGGCTGGCCCCCGGTCTCACCACCTGTGCTCCTGAATCCAGGCTTGTGCTCATGCCTGTGGCTCGAATTCTGTCCAATAATCATGTATTGATTGACTGAAAGACTGATTACAGGAAGTTTATCAGGGACCTGAAGAAAATAAGGCTACCCTTCTAGAAATGTACACAACTTTAAAACTCACTTCCACTGTAAAGAAGTATTTACATCTATTTTCAGATGTTTGCTTGAAGTGAGAAAGGGGAGCAAAGCGTTCTCATCCCCCTCCAGCTCTGAAAGGGAATGAACCAAGATTACACACACGCATGTACACACACACGTACACACACACACACACACACACTTGCATGTACAGACACACACACTCTCATGCACAGACACGCACACACACACTTGCATGTGCATGCACACACACACACTCTCATGCACACATACATTTGCATGCACAGACACACACACACACACACTCGCACGCACGCACTTGCATGCACACACATACTCGCATATGCATGTACACACGTATACACACACACGTACGCTGACGTCCCCACTCCGGCCACCCGTCCAGGACCCGTTTGCTATTCAGGACACGTGCAATTCTTCCCAGGAGCCTGGAAGCCACTCCAATGCTCAGAAATCTAGAGTTCTTTCAGTTTCCAAATGCAGCCGCCTCCCCATTTCACTGGCTCCTTAAGAATTCCGGTCATGCTTTCCGTTTGTCTAGGCAGCGCCCGTTTGAAAGGGCTGCACTGGAACCCACACATTTATTCGCTTCCCTTGTCAAACGGGTGTTTTCGCGCACAAACCCCTCAATGGCTGTGCCTGGGAGTACAAAGTGTTTCCCAACTATGTTCTACTGTCTGGGAGGCCAGGGCTCCCGGCTACCCCGAGTTTGTGCTCGCCTGTGGGGTGGCAGGGAACAGGACAGGAAGTTGTGAAAGGTCAGAAAACCCAGTAGCACTGTTGTACCCAGAATCGGAGCCCATGCAAGGTCTTGGAGATGTGCTGAACGACTGAGCAAATGGAAGATCAGGTCAACGAGCGTTCACTGAAGGCCCACTGTGTGCTCAGTTCTGGAGAGAAAGGCCAGACACGGCCCCTGCCTGGCCCTATGGCCCAGGGAAAGGACAGTGCCATGGGGGAGGTGGGGTCTCCGTCCAGCTGCACAAGCCCCTCTGAAAGCCCGCGGGAGCCCCCGGCAGGAGCCCCTGGCAGCCACACCTACCTCTGCAATGACTTCTACCCGGTTTGGGCTGCACTTCACAGGTAAGGGGCAGCGCCCTCCACAGAATGGCCCTCACTTAGAACTGAGTGGCAAGACAGAGGACCCTAGGCCCCCCCACTTCTGACCAGCAGGCTACAAATTCGGAGGTTCCCACTACCCCCACATGATGGAGAATTCACTAGAACAACTCACAGAACTTGAGAAAGGGCCACACTTACAATTATAGTTTATTATAAAGGATACAAATGAGGACCCGCCAAGAGGGTAGACACAGGGGGAGGCCTGGGGGTTCTGGACATGAAGCCTCCATGCCCTCCCCCCACAGTGGCAGGAACGTTGCCGTGTCATCACCACCCGGGTGGCCCAGCTGTGCCCAGGTGTTTCACTGCAGAGGCATGACTGGCTGCAGCGTGACTCACGCTATGGGTCCATAGGTATCACTGACAGCCGACCGAAATCGGTCTGCAGTCCCCCAAGGGAGGTCACAAGCCCCACCCCTCTGGTCCCATGGCTGGTCACCCTGGCACAGCACTCCCTCCTGAGTCATCTGTTAGCATAAACCACCTAGGGGGTCCTCCACGGGCACCTCTGTGCCAGAAACTATCATGAACCACAAAGACACTCCTGTCACTTGGGAAATTCCAAAGACTTAAAAGCTACCTCCCAGGAACCAGGGACAAAGGCCAGCCACATTCTTTACCAGAGTCCCAGACCCTGCCCCCAGCCTAGGTGTGCCAGAGGGGCCTCTACCCACCAGGCCAGAGACGCAGAGGCTGACCTCCAGGAAGAGTGAGGTTCACTCACCAAAGCCACCCTGCCAGTGTCCACTCAGTGTCCTGGCGGGGGCATGGGTCAGGCGCGGCCCCTGCCCTCGGGCAGGCACTGTCTTAGCTGAGATGAGGCAGGAAGCAGTGTCCACGGCTCCGCGACAATGAGAGATGGTCAGGAACAGAGCATCTCAGTGCCTGACGGACACACGGAACTCAGGGAGAGGCGTGGGAGAGCTTCCCAGAGGAGGGATGGCTGTGGGGACTGAATACCCCAGCCAAGTGGGGACAGCAAGGCCACCCCAGGGCCAAGGGTGAGCAGCAGGAATTTTCCGATGAGAAGTCAGACACCCGACTCCCAGAAAACCCAAGAAACTCGGTGTCTAAGAACAAGAACCCTCTGGGAAATGCCAGGACATAGTAGGTCTTCAACAGATGCCAGCACCCTCCTCATACACACAGGCCCCACCTCCCTCCACACCCTAGTTTCCTGGTTTACCGATGGTGGGCGGGGGCTCACGGCCTTTCAGGGCACCTCGGACCTATCGCTGATGAGGGGGCTGTGTGCTGGCGGGACAGGGCATGCGCCACGACAGCTCTGGTCAGCTGGCCCAAAGCATGGAGGGGGTGTGGAGACAGGGCAAAACGGCACGTAAGGGTCAGATGATGAATTCTTGCCTAAGAAGTCTTTCAGCTGGCACTAGGGCATGAGGGCCACTACCAGGCCCTGAGCCCTCCCACCCGGCCATCTGCATACACGAGCACAGCATGTGCAAAGGCACTGAGGCAGGGACACGGAGAGGGGGTGGAGCCCAGAGCCCCCGTCGGGCCAACTCCTTCTCCCCACGAGCATCTTGCTTGTATAAAGCACCGATTCATCCACTCATTCACCCAATAAACACATACTGAGCACCTACTGTTTGCAGGGTCTATCGATTAGCATGACGCTGAGCTGTGAGGGTGAGCTATTACTGAAGGCTTTTTTTCTCCCCTCAGAACCAAAAGGGCAACTAACTCAGCATTTTCTTTTCATATCAACAAATTTCCCAATGTCCAGCTAAACTAACATCACACCGTTATTCAGATTTGACAGACTTTCATGAAGCTCAGACCAAGGGCGGCCGTGGCTAAACTGGGTTCCTCATACTCTCCCCTCTACATCTGATGCATTTCAAAAGTTCCATAATAAAAAGTGAAAAAAGCGGGGAGGGAGAGAAGAAAAGCAAAGGCCGGGCACGCAGCCCACAGGGACAGAACTGTCTCCACTCACCAGCCAGGCAGCCCTGCGTGGCCTCTGCTTGTCTGCAATGTGGAAATAACAGTAAAACTGACGCAGAGGGGTGCAGGGAGGATTCAATCAATAACTTGAACAAAATCTTGGTATAGTGCTGGCACCCAGTGAGTGCTCAGTGAATGTGACCTGTTACCACGTCCCAGGCAGGACCTTGGGTGCTTACAGGTGTGCTGTTTCCTGTACAGGTGAGGAAACCGAGGCCCAGACAGGCCAAGTGAGAGTCAGAGCTTAGTTCACGCTTGCAGCTGGCTGCAGCCCAGCCTCCATAGCTTCCTCTGCTCCTGGGATCCCCACGTCCCCAGCGGGGAGGCCCTCCACGCCCCCGCAGCTGTGAGCAATCCCCGAGACATCCAGCCCTACACCTTATTAAGCAGTCACCGCGGCATCTGCCTTAATGACATCAGTCAATATGAGTAANCACACACACACACACACACACACACACACACACACTTACAGTCCCCCATTGCCATGGGGTGTTCATACAAGAGGCAGGAAGGATGGTCTAACACCTGTCAAATGCCCAGTGTCTCCTGCCAGCCCCTGGCCGATATTCCACCAACATGTGTCTGCACAGGGGCTTCCCTCTGCTGGAAACAGCCTTCCCTGGCTTCTCTATATAGCCAACAGTCCCTTTGAATCTCACTTTAGGAGTCACCTCTTCCTGGAAGCCTTCCATGATACCCCTTCTCCACTAGTCCCCTCCCTAGCTGGGTTAAGTGCCTCCTGCATCCCCTGTCATCACTGACTTGTGGTCCCCACTACTTGGGAGTGTCCTGAGGGCAGGGGAACTCCCCACACAACTCTATATCCCCAGGACCCCAGCACCTTTGTGCCCAGAGGGGGCTCAACATCTCTACTCCCCCTGCAAGGCTGCCAACTTCACCTGCCTGCAGCTTGGCAAGGGCTCTGCACCCTCAGAGGAGCCCCCCAGAGAGGGATATGCAAAGGGCAGAGGCACCCAGGCAGGGTCAGAGGCATGGGCTGGATTGGGCTCCCCAGAGCTGGCTGTGGGGCCAGAGCCACTACACGCCTGCCTGGGCTCCTTTTGCTCCCATCACCCTACCTGAGAGCCCGTGGGAAGGGGGAACACCACTGCCGTGTAAAATAAAGCAGCAGACACACCAATTAGGCTTTTAGCAAAACGCCACCGGATAGGCTGCCCTCAAGGGCGCCTGCAACAGACGTGCCTGAGGACATTTCACTCCGTACAGTGCTATCCACACACCTGAGAAACAGCCCCGAGTCTCTGCTCAAAAGCAAAAACGCTAAATACCAAGGCAGCGAACGGCAGTGACCACTATGGTTATTTGTTTTTAATCCGTGTTGTCATGGAGGGCAAGAAAAACAGCACATCCACGCACACAACCTTCCCCAGCCTCGTTTCTCTGAGTCAGCAGTCGGCATCTTTACTGCACATTTTTGTGAATGCCACAGATTTCTGGCCGGCACACCTTAGAAATTAAGGCTTCAACCTTAATGGGCTGGGACCAAGGCCTGCAGATACACACAAGAGTGGTCCATGCTGGTCGAAACGGGGTCTCACTCACCGCAGAACTTCTGGGGGGATGGCCAGCTGGTCGCATTTGAGGTGTTCATGGAGCTCACTCAGATGGTTGAAATAGGTGACTTTTTTCCCAAACTTGTGACTGAAAAAAAAGCAGCGAGAGGGTAAAAATGATTAGGCGGCCACAGAGAGGCCAGGCGCGTGCGTGTGTATTGGGGGGGGGGGAGCAGGAGAGCAATGGTGGCATTTTTCGTATTAAGAAACTGTAACTGCTGACACAACTTAAAACCAGGCTACAACAGAAGCTGCACACGTCGGCAGATGTTTTGCTTTCCTAAGATCTCCGATGCACCAAACACTATTGGGCGTCTCATCTGCATAAAAATAAATATCCGCCTCCAGTTTGAATCGGCTGTGAATTCGCATAGACACAGGAGATGGCGTGGGGGCCAGGGAGCCCCAGGGTACAGGGAGGGCGGCCCAGAGCGGGGCTCCCCACCCGGCCAGCCCCTCTCTCCGCCACGGTGCCGTGAGGGCAGGGACCACACCTGAGTCCTCTGCGGTTTCTCCCCAGGACGGGGCCACAGTGGGGTGAGCATGGCTGCCAAGGCCAGACAAGCCCCGGCCGAATCAACTCACCCACCTTGCAGGGCTCCAGTCCCCCTCTGAAAACGGGGCTTCTCCCTCCTAGGTGAGACTGTTTCCCTAAACCAGCCCACTGTCTGATACCTGGTAGACGTCACTACCTGTGCCCGTTGTCATTAGTGAGCCTCCTGGTTTCCTGAGCTGCAAAGTGGGGAAACCACAGGAGGACTGAACGGGTGGGCTGTGCTCGGCCAGCGCCCGCTCCTAGCCAACCATCACTACCTACCGGGCCGTTTGTTTTTACGGCTTCACTGTAGCATCACTGAGTTACACAAAACGGCACATATTTCACGTACACAATCTGATGACTTTGGACACGTGTGCACAGCATAACACTACCCCCACAATCAAAGTGACAAGTGCATCCCTCACCTCCAAGGGTTCCACGTGTCCCTCTACCTGTGTGAGTGGGAAGAACATTTAACATGAGATGCAACCTCCTGGCCACTTTTCAGGCGCAGGATACGGTACTGTTACCGCAAGCTCTGGGCTGTCCAGATCCTTAGGACCTCCTCAACATAAAACCGTAACTGATTTGCTTCATCCCAAGGCGGTTTGAGCCCAGAGCCGCGGGAGGCCCAGCCGCATGCACTGGCTCCCCCTAGTGGATGAGGGCGAATCAGACAGGGCACCGGATCCCCAGCAACCTGCGCTGAGGGTCAAAGGAGACCTCGCCACCATCTGGGGGACAGAGGTGTCAGCTCCAGAGCTGCAGGGAGGCCCCTCGTGCCAACACCAGGGCCCCTTCATCTTTCTCTCTGCGTTTCTGGTGTCCATCTCCAGCCAGTCAGGCATTTGCTGGACACCAGCCTCTGCAGATGGAGGCGGTGCCCGGTTTCCTGCCTCTCACATCCAGAAAGGGCCTCCGGGCAGCTCATCCAGGGATCCCAACTGTGGGTGTGGATGGAATTGCCAGGCCCCACCCAGAGGGTCTGAGTCACGGGGTGTGGTCCAGGCCCCGCCCACGGCAGGCAGTGGCGCGCCAGCGAGCTTGCGCACCTGCTCTATCCTTAGATACGGACTCCGGCGCTTACATGGGCAGCCAAGTCACAGCCGACACGTGGCCCCAACCCTAATTCCTGTGGTCCTCTCCTGGCACCTGCTTACGTCCATGCCTGAGGCAGGATAAGGGGCGGAACTGCACAGGCTTGAGATGGAATCCCAGCAGAGCCCTCACTTGCTGTGTGACATCGGGCAAGCTCCTTAACCTCTCTGAGCGTCAACTTCCCCTCCTCTGGAATAAGGAAAATACAGCCGACTTCAAAGGATTGTTCTGGCGTGCCTGGCACATAAGGTGCATAGGATATTATAATTAAATTAATCACAGAAGAATTATAAGAAATTTTAAAAACACTAGCAGCTAACGCTGAACATTTGCTAGTGCCAGGCTGACCCATTCTAAACACTAAAGGTATGAAGTCAGTGAATTGTTATAACAACAGAATGACTGAAGTGGCATTGCCAGCCACATGGGGAAACTGAGGCAGAGAGCGGGTGCCTCTCTGGCCTGGAGTAACAGTCAGTCAGGGGCAGCACAGGGTCAAGCCCGAGGTGGTCTAGTTCCAGCACCCCACATCCTCTAGGCTGCAAACAGCAGAAATGGGTGAGTTGTTTTTTTTTCAAGAACTTTAGTGGTTTCTAGAACTCTTAGAGCTGTTATAGAATGAACGACAGCACCAATAAACAGAACATCTGAACGGTCTTCTTGGGAAGTAGGGTCACCAGGACTGGCTCTCTCACTGTCAAATATGGCGCCAGCGGGCTGGTCCTGGTTAAACAACATACCAGACCAACAAAATCCCACCTTCCCAGTGGGTACGTGTCTGCGGCACAGGCAACCAGGTGGGAAAGCTGGCAGGGAATGCTAATAAAACGAAACGAGCTCTTTGGTCCCAAAAATCTCTCCCTGTGTTCAACAGGGAACCGACTCAAGTCCACTGTTCCAGGAATTCTCCAAGTGGAGTCGGTGGATCCGGGAATCGTAGCTGACCCCGTGTCTGGAGCCACGCCCAGGCTTCCTGGAAGAAGTGTCGAAAGGTGACACTGATGACGTCACACCTCCTGAAAAGGTTTCTGTTCCAGATCAGACGTAAGCCTTCTACAACCTCCTGATCTGATTGGAGGGTCGAGCAGAATTTATTAACAGGGAGGGCATCTCCGAGCACCCCAAAAGGCCATCTGCAAAGTGGTGATTCTGCTCGGCCCCTGCCACCTGACAAACATGGCTGCTCACTTCTGCAGGGCTCAGGTCTCTGTATATTGGCGGGGGGGGGCACGGGGAGGCATAGGGTTCCTTCAGTGTCACATCTCACCATGAGACGTGCTGGGAAGTTCCTTCTCAAGTCTCCGAGAGGCCCAGAGTGCGGAGGGGGCTTGGAAGGCAGGACTGGGCCTCTGACAGCAACCCGGGGATCACAGAGTGCGTATGTGCGTGTGCATGTGTGAGCACATGTACGTGTGTCCGTGCTCACCAGGTGAGAAGAGAGGGTCGCTGGGATCCTGAGAGGGGCCAGAGCATGAGCGACGTGGACAGCGGTCAGCAGAGGGGCCACGTACCTGATGAGGGGTTTGAAGACGTTCCACAGGACTTTGATGAAGTTGGTGGGGTGCACGACGTAAAGGGCCTTCAAGTTCTTTTTGTACCTGAGAGGGAAGGTGAGACGACTTCAGAGCATGAGACTGGGACACGCACCCCAAGCTGGAGAACCGCCTCC